ATAATATTGACAAGTTATGAGATAAATAAAGTTCATTTAATAAGAAATGTAGGAAATGGGCAAAGTAAAGTCATATAGGCCATATTCGGGCCGATTTGAGTAAAAAGCGTCATAAACCTTAATAAAATGCTCTCCTATACAATTTTAGGGCTTACACACATACAACTACCCAACATTGACATGTTATGAGAAAGAAATAGTTCATTTGATAAGTAATGTAGGAAATGGGCTACATAGAAGTCATATAGGTAATATTTGGTAAAATACATATTGTTTTGCCGAATTAATTAATTTTAACATAATGTTTTTGTATTTCAAGTTTTGCAAGGTCCAAAAGGATGGTCCGTTGACAATCAAGGAGCTTAATGAAGTTCGTGACATGTTGGCGTCTTTTATCACCTTCAACATGTAAATGGCATTGTAATTGTAAATTATTTATGTTAACTTTTGAACTATATAACTTATTATTCATTATATATTTACTTACTATTATTTGTATATGTAAGCAACTTTTTTTTTTGTATTGCGTTTGGGAATATTTATATCTATATATATAATTGAATTCTTGTTTTTAATATTATTTTTGTATCTTATTTGAATAATTAATAATATTATTAATTATTATGTTTAATATAATTGCTGGAATTACAGGTTATTATTATTGCGGGAAACAGGTTTTTTTTTAGAATATTATTGCACGAAAATTGGAAAAAAAAAACAAAAAAAAATATTTGGTGAATAGGCACCGGTTAGGCACCAACCGGTGCCTAAAATAGCTACCACCAAAAAAAAATGGCGGGAGAGCAATTAAAGGCACCGGTGCCTAATTGGGTATATGGCACCGGTTAATCGATGCCTATTTGACCCTATGGCACCGGTTTTGAACCGGTGCTAAAAAATGGGTTTTTGGCACCACCCACTAAGGCAGCGGTTCAAACCGGTGCCTTAGACCGGGTTTGAACCGCTGCCAAAGCCCTTTTTTCACCTAGTGCTAGCTGCAGAATCTAAAATTATTCAAGAAGAATTTCCAAGGCCATTATAAAAGGCTTGGATTAACTGCCATTGTGCTAAATTATGGTGAGGGCAATCTCTTTGTAGATCCTTGAACCTCTCCCAAGCCTCATATAAAGATTCATCGGCTTCTTGGGCAAAGTTCTGAATCGCACTCCGTAGTACGGCTGTTCTCTCTGCAGGATAATACTTGTTATAAAAATTCAAAACAAGATTTTCCCAGTCAGTTATACCAAGTGCAGTTCTATTTAAGCCATTAAACCACAATTTAGCCTTTCCAGTTAAGGAAAAGGGAAAGAGAATCTCCCTGATTTGGTCTTGAGTGACCCCGGCTTGCCTGATGGTGTTGCAATATTGACAATAGTCGGCAATGTGAAGATTCGGGTCTTCACCCTTAGCTCCACTAAATTGCTTCCTCTCTATCGTCGTTATAAATTGAGGCTTAATTTCGAATTGAACCCCATCAAGAGCCGGAGTAGGGGTGAGATGTGGAAAATCTGTAAGCTTGGGTTGTGAGTAATCACTAAGCTTCTTTGGAGCCGTCATCTTTGATTCTGGATCTGATGATACCTCTGAATCGCTAGAACCAGTCGGAGGATCGCGGTGATTATTGTTATTATCACCAGAATCCGCCAGGATTTGCTTGTAGAAATTTTTCTGTCTATGAAAGGAGCGTTCGATCTCAAGATCGAATGGGATGTACCCTGATCTGGAACACCTGGGCATAAACAAAAACTAGAAGCAAATATGAGATTTGCCTCAGAGAACTAATGTTCTCTGAGACAAAAAGAAAATAATCTAGACTACAAAAATAATCAGAAATAAAAATAAAACCGTTTCCCCGGCAACGGCGCCAAATTTTGACAGGGTAAAGTCGTATCCCCTAATCAAAAATAATTCCTAAATCCTCTAACTAAAGCAGAAAGGGGAGTAGGGTCGATCTCCACAGGGTAACAAGTCTTTCTATTCCTAATTAACTAAAAAAATCTAGATTATGAAGTAACCAATATTTATATTTGAATAAGAAACTAAACTATTAAGATTGAGAATAGGGAGAAAACAATATATAAAAGGATCTAGGGCATAGGTTCACCAATAAATAATATTACAGGGTAAAACATAATAATCAATCATTGACATTGCATAAATAACATGATTAACAGGCTCTCGCAATTTACTAATCAACATAGATCTAACAGGCTCTCGCAATTTACTAGATCTAAGTTCTTATTGAAAATAGCCTTTAATATCAAATTAACATCTGCTCGATTCATCAATTCAATATTGCTATACTTTTACAAGCCATAATTGTAAAGCGTTAAAACAATTCAATAAAAAATTATCATGCAATATCAAAAACTAATAATAGTCAATCATCAATGCATCAATTAACCAGATTGTAAAGGGCTTTCGCTACGTATTACAATCACATAATTAATCTACCGGTATTAAATCTCATCTCTCGAATCTCGACTTAACCATTTATAAATTAACCTGCCTATTGAAACTAGACCTAAACATCAATTCTCATCTCTCGAATCTCGAATCAATATTGTCAAACTCATGCATAAAAGATCAGGCCTAATCTAGTCACAGAGCATTAAATCAATCAACAGGAAATTAATCTAACATTGATAATTAACAATAATAAATTACCCCTTCATATTATTTATGGATCCCCATAAACCCTAGAAATAAAACTACTCACACATGGTAAAAACTAAACTAATCAAAGCAATAAAATAAGACATAATTAAAGGAATGAAATAAACAACTAAGATTAAGAGAAGAGAAATAGTTACCAAAATAAATCTGGAATTAAGAGTAGATTAAGAACAAAGGTTTAAGAGAAAGAAAATCTAAGAGAACTATTAAGAGAGTAAAGAAAGAGTAAAAAGAGAGAGAGAGAGAGAGTTAAAAAACGTATTACGGAGAAGTATTTATACTCCGTACAAATCCTAAACTAAAACAAATTAAAACGACGCTAATCGTCTCCTAATAAATACACGCGCCCGATCGGGCGCGCCTTTTTATCCCTAATACTAATCTCGCGCCCGGCCGGGCGCGTCCCCAGGCGCCAACCTTAGCTTCTCCCGCCCGGCCGGGCGCGCCTTCGAGCACCAGCCTCTTTGGCCGGGCGGCTCACTTGGGCCACTATTTGGACTACGATTGGGCTCCAATTCTTCGGGCCAATCTGGGTTTCCTCTTCCGGTATTGAATACTCGGTCCGAATGCCCCTGTATCACCTATACCGAGCCCTTAATCACCGGTTCGACGGCTCTAACCGGCCCTGGGCTATAAAATCTGGTCGTGCTTCTGCAATGTTCGTGATTGCTCCAAAATATCTCGGGAAAATACTCCAAAAGCATAAATCTCTGCAAAAGTCAACCAAATCTACGAAAACACTAGAAAACACCAATTAGTAATAAAAAGTGGCTCTAAAGAGCCAAAAACACTACCAATTATGACCAAGGGACGGGGGTAAAATACTATATAAAATAGACACATCATGGGTACGGGGCGAGGCGGATATGGGGCGGGTCTACTCTAAAATCCATACCCGCCCCATCACCCATGGCGGGTACACATTTTATACCCATCCCCGCCCCATCACCCGCCAAACCTCCCTCCATCCCCGCCCCACTTAGGCGAGGATGGGGCGGGTCTCCCATTTAACTCGACCCACTGCCATCCCTAGTCCCAATATATTACTTCACTTGTTTTTAAATACTGGCTCTATTTTTCTTTTTTTGGCTGCTTTTAAATACTTGCTCTATTTCTTTATTTGGAAAGTTTTTACAATATTTAATTAATTTCTCTCACCTAGTGGACCCAATATAATATGTTATTAATTTCATATTCTCTCTCCTCTAATTCTCTCTACTACTTTTACTTTTTACAATTTTTTATTCTTCCACTTATCTCACTACATCTATATTTTATTAGTTTCTTCAATTTCTTCTAAAACACCGTACATGGAGAAATGAAGCAAGTATTTAAAAAAGGAGGGAGTACAACTTTTTTACTTTTTCGTACTTCTATATAATAAATGAGTCGAACTTTTGAAAAACAAAAAGAGTACTAAAGATCATCAAAAGCGATTAGAAGCAGTGAATATCAATGATAGTCACAACAAAAGTCTAAATGAGAGCATCTTCTAACCACCACTTGAACTCTGTATGATCTATTCCATCAGTTCTTTTTTGTTCTAACTGTGTATATCAGTCCGGACTCCGGAAGTTGGGCCGATATTAAGACGAGCAATAGAGGAAATGATTACGTCTAATATAGTACAAACTCCTTTTATATTTTAATGGATCAGGATATAATGGGCCTATGCCCTGGATTTTAAAAAAAAAAAAAAGCCCAACAGAAAACGCTTATAAGCCAGTACGTTTCACAATTTAGGCTCATTATAAGCTTAATAAATATGAAGAGAGCTTGATTTTACTTCATTTTGAGTGAACACACTTGTAAAAGTATAAATTTGAAATTTTGAAAAGGATTATCTTAATGATGTATCGCTCTCTTTATTTCTTTTAGGGCTCAAGTTGTAATATTTGTACAGTTTTCAATATCTATTTTGAATCAAGTATTCCATACACTTAAATTATAAAATATGGTCTAAAAATGTCAATAGATATTCTCCTTTTTTTTGCAAAAAGCTTATGATATGTCCATGAAAAGCTAATCCTAATCGTTGTCTCAACTCATTAATCTAACCGATCAAAAACTACACTAGGTTTAGTTCTATTTTATAAGACAATCCTTCAAAACAAGAAGCAAAAGATTAATTGTGGGTTTTAAAATGGCTAAACTTAACAATTACAACTATTATATCATCTTTAATGATAAAGAGTAAATTAAGGATTGTTATTAATATCAAAGAATGTGAGATCAAATAAATAGACAAATAAATAATACCCATCCATTTATAACTTTGTAACATTATTTATTTAATAGAATTTATGCAATTCATTTTTGTAACTAGTCCCTAAACAAAAATGGGCACCAACATCAACTCCTTTCTATTTCCTTGTTATCTTCTAATCTTATTATCTTCATTTTCACAAACATTGTCTTTAGATCCTACATACAACAACTTCCTTCAATGTCTAAAAAACCAAACAAATTCACCAACGAACATCACAAACATTCTTTATGCACAACAAACACCAAACTACAATTCCATCCTACTAGCCTATATTAGAAACCTTAGATTTGCATACCCAACAACACCTAAACCACAACTTATTATCACACCCTTTAACCCCTCTCAAGTATCCGCCACCGTCGTATGCGCTCGCAACCTCGGCCACCACATCAAAATCCGTAGTGGCGGCCATGACTACGACGGCCTATCCTACACCTCGGACCACCCATTCGTCATCCTCGATATGCAAAACCTACAACGTATCGAAGTAGACCCTAAGGCTGCAACTGCCTACATTGAGGCAGGCTCAACTTTAGGTGAACTTTACTATAGGATACAAGAAAAATCCAACACCCTCGGGTTTCCGGCCGGGGTTTGCCCTACCGTGGGTGTAGGAGGCCATGTTAGCGGTGGTGGTTACGGCAACATGATCAGAAAACACGGGTTATCCGTTGACCATATAATCGATGCCACAGTCGTTGATGCACAAGGCCGGATTTTAAACCGTAGCACCATGGGTGATGACTTGTTTTGGGCGATACGAGGCGGCGGTGGGGCTAGCTTCGGTGTAGTGGTGTCCTACACCGTGAACCTTGTGCCTGTACCAGAAATCGTAACCGTTTTCAACATCCAGCGTTACCTTAAAGATAACGCTACGGAATTGGTCCATAAGTGGCAGTTTGTTATGCAAGATATTGATCATAATTTGTTTATCAGGTTATTATTACAGCCTGTAAATGATCCTCAGATTAAGGGTAAAAGTACAGGCAGAGTTACTTTCATGGCATTATATTTAGGTGACTCTAATACATTAGTTACCCTACTAGGCGGTAAATTTCCCGAACTTGGTTTAAAAAAGGAGGATTGCAAAGAAATGAGTTGGGGTAAATCAACGTTGTATTGGGCAAATTTCGACAACAATACTAAACCTGAAGTATTGTTAAACAGGACCTTCACAGCTAACTATTCGAAGCGAAAATCGGATTACGTGCAAACACCGATGACAGTGTTACAGTTACAGCAAATGTGGAATAAGATTGCTACTTTGGCCCAACCAGGGTTGGTATTCAACTCATATGGTGGAAGAATGAACGAGGTTCCGGCGACGGATACGCCGTTTCCTCACAGGAAAGGGAACTTGTTTAAGATTCAGTACTCTGATAGTTGGCATGATGCAGGGCAAGAAGCTAATGATAAACATATTGGGTTAATTAGGGAGCTTCATAATTTTATGACACCATTTGTTTCTAAAAATCCAAGGGGTGCTTATTTTAATTATAGGGATATTGATATTGGTGTTAGTCATAATGGGACTTACCAAGAAGGGGAAGTTTATGGTAGGAAGTATTTTAAGGGGAATTTTGATAGGTTAGTGAAGGTCAAGACTTTGGTTGATCCTACTAACTTTTTTAGGAATGAGCAAAGTATTCCAACACAGAAATAATAAGTGGGTGTTACAATGGAATAAAATCGGTTAGGATCCGTACAATGCATGTTGATTACTTAATTAGTTTTATAAGGAGTATTGAATAGTTTTATATTAATTTACAAAGTGGGCAAAAAATTAAAGAGTTTACTCTTTTTATCCTATAGAAAACTTCTCATTTCTCTTAGGCAAGTGGTTTTAATAAGAGGGTTGGTGAATGCGATTTTGTTCAGTATAAGTTAATTACAAAATTAATTAGGTGGTGAAAATTCAATAGTTTTTTCAATTGTGGTAAGAGAAAGTGACGATCATAATGTGTTTTAATTAAGGGAGTACGGAGTAGTAAGAAGATGAACATAAAACAATAGCATTCAAAAGGAAAGCATTATTATATTATATATGGACTCAAGTGAAAGGAGAAAATTCAAAAGGAAAGCATATTATATGGACTCAAGTCAAAGGAGAAATGATTTTTATTTTATTATATTTTATTTAATTATATTTATTTTTGGAAATACAAGCGACAAAAGAAAAATAAGATTGATTTTTTTGACACATAGTTTTTTTTTTATACTCCGTATGAAATAATTCCTAAGATATTTTCATGTATTACTTTGACATGAGTCACATAACTATATATATCAAAATTAAATAATTAGGCCAATGATTTGCAATGTAGATTAACAATGTTCTTCAAATAAACTTGGTTACTTGATGGCTTTTTATTTTTTTTTATTTTTTTTTTGGGAGGGAACGTTACTTGAAATGTTTGTTTCTATCAATTTATTATTCCTTTAGATCGATATTTTCAAATTTATTTTGAATCCATAACCTATTGACTAGTCCCAAAGTCGTAACATATAAAATCTACTCCGTAACATGGAAGGCTTAGTGGTAAGGAGTATTTGGCCTAAAGTTGATCAAAATATACATGTTGGTTTATTTATTTGAACACAAAATATACATGTTGGTTTTGAATTGTACTGAGAAAATATTTACCAATTTTAAGAAATCATATGAACCTCAAATTAAAAAAATTTATGAAATTTATATATTTGAAACTTATAGCCTTACACATAACACAAATTCAGCAACACCTCAATTAATTTATTTTTTCTTATATATTACTCCCCGTTCTTTTATTATAGTCCCGTATCTAACATTTATTACTCACATAACAAAGAGAATTGAGACTCTAGTAAAATAACGGAGGGAGTAGTTTCTAAATCCTGCCAAAGATTGATTAAATCAATATAAGAAACCAAACCGTGAAAATTAAAGGTGTTTTGCTATTATAATTATATTTGGTATGAAATATGAATGATATCATTATATCAATATAGTCTAATTGGTGTTTTGTTATCATAATTATATTTGGTATGAATGATATCATTATATCAATATAGTTTAATTGGTGTTTTGCTATCATAATTATATTTGGTATGAATGATATCATACATTATATCAATATAGTCTAATTCATAGTGGCTTATTTCATAGGAAGAAAACAAGTAAGATATAACGACGAAGATACATTTAAACTAGTGTTGGTCTAGTCATGAATCATTGTCCCTTTTTAAGTTTGAAATATGATTGTTGTAGTACCAAAACATCACATGATTCCATGTTCCATGTTCCGTACCAAGTCTACCCATGTTATCATTTAGCATATTTTTAGAATTGAAACTTTTAAGTCCGTGATCAACTTTTAAGAACAGAATCTCCTTTAAGTCAGTAAACTTTTAATAAGTCAATTCTCCGATCACTTATGTATGCACTATATACATGCCATTGATCTACATCAACTGAGGGTGGTAGTCATCATATACGTCTCGGGTACTTTGATTTACAATCTTCAGCTTAAGTATCATTTTAAGCACCTATTCAGTACAAACTCCTTTGATCATTAACTTAGTTTAATTAAAATCTTTAATATGTGTCTCTTCTTTGCATGTTATTTGCGTTTCATATTATTTACAACAATTTGACATAAAATAGAGAGAAAAAATGTCTAATCATTGCAAATAATATGAAATGAAAATAGTATGTATAGTTTATTGTTGTTCTATTTTTCTCGCATTTGAATCGTAAACAAAATTTTAACTCTTATTCTACTAATGACTTTCCTTCTAACCGACTCTCTGCCTATACCATAGATCAAGCAAAATGCCTAAGAAAGATATATGGTTGGATATATGGTTAAGAATGGCACTCCACCTGTAGAGTAATGGATAGCTCAAATGGTTAGAGCTCCCTTTCTACCTCATTTCAAAAGATCTTGAGATCGATTGGTTGTCCTTCTGACTACTTAAACAAAAAAAAAAAAAAAAAAAAAAAAGAGAATGCTACTCCACCATATATTTGTTTTGTACTTGTCTTCTTTAATTTAAAGCCTCAAGTCAAGTAAAATTAATAGAATCCTTTTACAATAACCACCAATGCACGAGTGCACGACCAATATTGATTTCGAGAGAGGACAAAGAAATAAAGTATATAATAAGAAAAGAAAAATGTATACCAACATAATTGTAACAATAAAAGCCTTTCGATCAATATAAAAATCAACAACCTACAACTTTTTAGTACATATGCTTTATATAAATTAAAATCAAATCACTAGATAAGAAGTTGCACATAATTTCTATTTATCCCCCAATGATTTCGAAGTCGGAATACTTTGCTCATTCCTAAAAAAATTATCAGGATCAACCAAACTCTTAACTTTAACTAACCTATCAAAATTCCCCATAAAATACTTTCTACCATAAACTTCCCCTTCTTTGTAAGTCCAATTATGACTAACACCAATATCAACATCCCTATAATTAAAATAAGCACCCCTTGGATTTTTTGATACATAAGGTGTCATAAAATCATGAAGCTCCCTAATCAACCCAATATTCTTATCATCATCCATTTTCCCTGCATCTTTCCAACTAATTGAGTACTGAATCTTATACAAATTACCTCTCCTATGTGGAAATGGTGTCTCCGACGACGAAATCTCGTTCATTCTTCCACCATATGAGTTAAATACCAACCCTGGTTTCGCCAAGGTAATCAACTTCCTCCATAGTAGATTCAACCCTACTTTAGTGATCGGTTTTTGTACATAATCCGATTTTCTCTTTGAGTAATTTGCCGAGTAGTTCCTACTTAAGAGAACTTCAGGGGATGTTTCGTTGTCGAAATTAGCCCAAAACAAAGTTGATTTACCCCAACTCATTTCCAAGCAATCTTCCTTCTTAAGACCAAGTTCAGGAAATTCTTTTTTGAGTAAAGAATATAATGTACTTGAATTACCTAAATAAAGGGCTATAAAAGTAACTCTACCTGTTTTTTTACCTTTATTTTGTGGATCACTTACAGGCTGTAATAATAATCTGATAAATAAATTATGATCAATATCTTTCATTAGTAACTGCCACTTGTAAACTAAATCCGTTGCATTCTCTCTTATAAACCGCTTAATGTTAAAAACCGTTACTTTTTCCGGTACCGGGACTAGCTTCACCGTGTAGGAAACTACCACGGCGAAGCTAGCACCTCCGCCGCCTCGTATAGCCCAAAACAAGTCCTCACCCATGGTGGACCGGTTCAAGATCCGACCCGTTGCGTCGACTATGGTGGCGTCGGTTATATGGTCTACGGATAACCCATGTTTTCTGATCATGTTGCCGTACCCACCACCGCTGACGTGGCCTCCTACGCCCACTGTAGGGCATACTCCGGCCGGAAACCCGAATTTATTTGTTTTTATTTGAATGTTGTAGTAGAGTTCCCCTAGAGTCGAACCTGCCTCCATGTAGGCAGTTCCGGCTCTAGGGTCTACTAAGATACGTTGTAAGTTTTTCATGTCGAGGATGACGAATGGGGTGTTGGAGATGTAGGATAGGCCATCGTAGTCGTGGCCGCCACTACGGATTTTGAGTTGGTGGCCGAGGTTGCGAGCGCATACGACGGCGGCGGATACTTGGGAGGGGTTGTAGGGTGTGATTATGAGTTGTGGTTTTGGGGTTGTTGGGTATGTGAATCTAAGGTTTCGAATGTAGGCTTGTAGGATTGAATTGTAGTTTGTGTTTTGTTTTGAGTAGAGAATTTTGGGGATGTTTGTTGATGAAATTGATTGTTTTTTTAGGCATTGGAAGAAGTTATTGTATGTAGAATTCGAAGATAATGCTTGTGAAATTATGGAGAGTAGGATTAAAAGATAATAGGGGAGTAGAAAAGAGTTGGTATTTTTCTTCATTTTTTGTGGAATTTTAGGATTACTTAGTACTGGAATTTATGTTGTGTTCAATTTGTTATGCTGTGTTTTTATATTAGTACTAGTCAACGTGGTTTGAAATCTTTTTCAAGAAGAGTGATTTATTACTTTTTCTGTCCAAAGTATCTAGCGCACTCATTTGATATCCTTAATAAATGTTTAAGATTAAAATCCTTATTAATCAATCAATATAATCCTCGCTCATTCCTGAGTTGTTAGGCGTTGTGCATCAAGGCCAACTAGGTAGGTATAAGATGCATGTCATATACTACGTACCTTTTAGTATATCTTAGTGATTATGTTAGCCTTTAATGTTTCTGTAAAACACTGTAAATATATGTATTAGTCTTTTTGTTGTTCTTGTTGTCGTCGTCATCGTTGTTTAGATAGCCACAAGAGCATGGTGATAATCGATACCAAGATCTCTTGGAATCGGGAGGAAACTCTAACCACTTGAGCTATCCCTCATTCTCATATGTATTAGTTCATGAATATTCCGTATAATCAAGCTTTCAGTCATATTCTATTATTAACACGAGTTGCCATTTCTCAATAACTTCCAAAGAAAAAAAAAATACATTCACATTGTGTTTCCCATTATCTTTACTCTTGAATATTTATTTTCACGTTAACAAATCTCATTAATTACGACGTTTTACATTTTTCATAACTCTTATTAATCATGATATCAATGGAGGACATAAATAGATTTTATTTATGAATAGACGAATCCCTGAGAGGATAGAATAGTTGATTGGTCACATAAGTTGAATAAAGGAAAAGTAGAAAACGAGTGAGGAAAAAAAGATAAATGAGATTGAGAGGCTAATACCCTACGTTCGTGGCATTGTAAGGACAGAAAATTCAGAAAATTGAAATGAGGATATTGTGGCACATTGTTATGTAGGGCCATGTGAGACTAGGGACTCAAAGAAAATTCAACACACAAATTCGAAGATAATATATATGTTAGCAATGCAATGCACTAAAATTTTATTCTTGAAAAATCAAAAAAATAAATAATGGAGCACTAGTTTTAGTTGATAAGATCATATCATTATGAAATTGGAAACAAATTTCAATTTTTTTAAGAAGTTTGTACCCCTTAGACTGATATTGCTTATAAGATGAGTCCCCATGACAAAGACTATAGCAACGACGGGTATGTCGAACAAACGAACAAATTAAATCTGGTGTTGTTTGGACATTTATTGGAGACTAGCTTGCTGAAGGTTGTAAATCTTCATTGATTCATGGCTTGTGTAAGGCTAGATATTTATTAAAGCAAGGATCACATCTTTTTGGGGACGACATGCCTTTAAGAGTACTTTAATATATTCGAGCTAATTTAAGGCCTTGTTCTAGTTACTCTGCTTTTGCTCTCCAATTATTTACTCCCTCTTCTTTATACTTCGTATTTTATTTGTATCATTTTGACCGTTACACTTGTCGAGATTTAAGTTTGACCATTAATATTTTCAATTATTAATTAGTAAAAATTATAACAAAATTATATTATGAAACTAAACATTACGATTTACGATGAATCTAATAATATATTATATAATAACATTTGTTTATTTTATAGAGATGAAAAAATTAAGTTAATTATGGTATGTGATTAGTGCAAAAATCAAAGTAATGCAATTAAAAAAAAAAAAAAAGAGAGAGAGAGTATTCAGTATGGCAAATATATATACTCTGTACCATTTATACACCCTCTATATCTTTATTATTATTGCAATCACACTGCTTTTGCTCTTAAATTAGTTATTTAGTGTGACAATTATATTATACTCCATACCATTTATACACCCTCTATATCTTTATATTCTAGTCACTTTGCTTTTTGCTGAGTAGTCAAAATCCCCTGCTCATTTTTTATTATTACGCACTACATAAGTAGAATGTAGTCGCACTAATAATGATACAGATGAGGAAGTTAGCTAGTGGGATGATGATAATTAAAGTCTGTTCTGATTAATTGAATTGAGCTAAGCTGAATTGAACCAAACTTATTGGAGCTGAACTGAACTGAACTGAATTGAATATTTTATGAGAGAAGGACAATATAAAATGAACTGAACTGAACTTATTAGAGTTGAAATGAACTAAACTGAAAATAACCTAAAGAGAACAGACCATTATTTAAGAGGTTAATGTTAAAAGTTATGGGAAGTTATTGGATATTTTTTTGTTTTTTTTTTAAGTTCACAAAAATAACGATTAATAAGCTAAGGGTTTTGAAAAATAACATTTTTAGGGGGTTTTCACCATATATCCTCGAGTTTTTTTTGTTTATTTACCTTATATTCATGAATTTTTTAAAATTCATCATATACCCTCGAGTTTTCACAAAAATACACCATAACCTTGATGAGTATGATGACTAATGGTAGTTAACTTTCCCAATCATTAGGCTTAATTATGACCAGAAACCACCTTAAATACAATTCTTTACCTCCGAAATCACCCACATTTCTTTTTCCACCCCCAAAACCACCCCAAATTTTTTTTTCATCCTTAAAATCAATCATACGGATATAATTATTTGGAGTGGTTTCAGGGATTGGAGAAAGGAGAGGAGTGTTTTCGGGATGGAGGGAGAGATGTAAGGTGGTTTCGATGTATAATTAATCAAATTCTACTTATCTAGTTGTCATTAGGTGTGTATGGTGAATTTTTGTGACAACTCATAGGTATATGGTGAATTTGAAAATTTTTATGGATATACAGTGAATAAACAAAAAATTTAGGGATATATGGTGAAAAAAAAAACACATTTTTCATATACTCCTTTTGTTTTATAATAATATTGTGCAATTTGCATTATTTAAAGTTAGATACTCCTGTTTTCTGACATCTAAAAAAAAGGGATGTTATAGAAGGGTTTTCATATTGTATAAATTTTTTTTTAAAGTGTATATAATATAAATTAATTTAAGGTTAGTTTATTTAAGTAAGGTTTGGAGTGATGTCCTTTAAAGTTTAAATAAAAAACACTAACTTTTATATTAGGAAATTTTGTGAAAAACTACCTATTATAATCCAGAAATTGCGGAAAACTACCTATTAAAAAAAATGTTGTAATTGAGTGCCTAATTTTTTTAAAATGTTGTAATTTACTACCTTTACGCCGGATTATGAATGAGTTTGACCAAAATTCTTCGGCGTTGACTTGGTCAAGTGACACTTGTGAAAGAAAAGGGTCATTAAGTGTCACGTGATGGTCACGTGACCAAGTCAACACCGGAGAACTTTGGTCAAACTCCTTCATAATCCGGCGTAAGGTAGTAAATTACGACATTTTTCGAAAATTAGGTAGTCAATTACAACATTTTTTTAATAGGTAGTTTCTCGCAAATTCTGGACTATAATAGGTAGTTTTTCACAAAATTTCCTTTATATTATTATAGATATAGTCTTGTGTACAACGGGTGTAATTAATTTATTGTAAAACAGATTAATATTATTTTAAAAATACTTAAAGTTACCCTTTATATTGCAAAAGTTATTATTTTTCTATATATAAATTTTATCTTACAAAAAACTTATAATGTATTAGATTATTCATATATATTAGTCATTTGTATGAAATCATGTATCTATAAGATGAAATATACATTAAAATAAAATATAAATCAATGACAAATTATAAGTTACCATAAACATAGATAAAGTTACTCTAAAACTAATCGTTTTACAATAATAAAATTAATGTACATCCGTTATGCACAAGACTTATCCATTATTATATAGATATTGATTCTATTAATATTATTTCCATTTATCATATATTCGAAATTCCATTTAGGTAGTATAATTGATTGCAAATGATGTACTCCATGGATAATACTTTGTAATTGGTAAAAGTCTCAAACTTTGATACAATGTCTTATAGTAGAAAAGTCTAATAACTTAAAACTTAAAAGTCTCCATTTTTTTGACATTTGCATTGTTGATTGATGGACATAAAAATATCCATTGACCTATTTTTTGAGTCAATCATCCTCTTTAATTTTAAAGCTCACTACGGAAAATACAATTTTTCCAATGATAAAAGTTGAAATTAATAACCTTTAACCATACGTCCATACATATTCATATTAACAACCGAATAAATTATATGAACGTGATCTATCCACATGCAAATGTGCTGAATTTTACATTTCATCTTTTGTCACCTACTATTCTACAGCTAGTAAAGCAGAAAACAACATCCTTTTTACAACGTGAAGGAGAATATCTTCTTCTTCACAACAACTAAACCCCCTCTTCAAATATGACTTTTCAAACCTTTCACTTTCACATTGATTATAAAAAAAAAATAAAAAAATAAAAAAAAAACACCAACTTGCTAATCAATACAACTTTCCCTATTTATTTAATTACTTCATATAGATATATTTGTCCCATTTCATTTTTGCAAACATATGAAAAATAATAATAATGACACAATTAATTAGTATCTAAAAATTTCACAATTGTTTTTTAGATCTATTTCCATTTTTCAATGATTCTAATTTATTACAAAAGACAATTATAGAGATATTTTTTTTTCAATTAGATAACTTTGACATCTTATATGATTTTAGAGTATCAATTATTGTAGTATAAACAATGGGTGTTGAAGGAATTGTACTATATATAAACACAACTTAAGCACTTAACAAGTTTCATCTTTTGCAATCCAAATCGAAAATGAACACAAAAACCAACTCTTACCAACTATCCTATTTTCTTTTAATCATATTTTCAACATTCACATTAGCATTATCATTAGATTCTACATACACTAACTTCTTCCAATGCTTGAAAAAACAAACAAATTCATCAACAAACATCTCCAAAATTCTCTACTCCAAAGAAAACACAAACTACAATTCAATCCTACAAGCATACATCCGAAACCTTAGATTCACATACCCAACAACACCAAAACCAACACTCATAATCACACCCTTCACCACCTCCCAAGTATCCGCCACCGTCGTATGCGCTCGCAACCTCGGCCACCAACTCAAAATCCGTAGTGGCGGCCATGACTTCGATGGATTATCCTACATCTCCGGCCACCCATTGATCATCCTCGACATGTTCAACTTCCGTCGTATCGAGGTCAACCCTAAGGCCGCAACCGCCTACGTAGAGGCGGGTGCAACACTAGGCGAACTCTTCTATAGGATACTAGAAAAAAGCAACACCCTCGGGTTTCCGGCTGGG